CACAACCGGGATACTGACTACATGGTCAGAACATTCCATCACCAGGTCCCTCCCATTTCTCTTTTGCAGGCATACCCACTTCCCACCCACCTGGTCTCCTCCTTAAACCCTACCAAGTCCTCTCTGTTCTCCATTTCAATAACTGTCATATCAAGAATGTTATAAAAGGAAATCATACAGTATATAACTTTGGGGATTGGTTTTTTTCCCACTGAGCTTAATTCTCTGCAGACTCCTGGAATCTGTTCAAGGAATCAGTAATTCTCACCTTTTTACAGCTGAGTAAGGTCCCACAGTATGGCTGTCCATCACCTGTTTAACCATCTACTTATTGAAGGACATCTGGGTATTTCCAGTTTCTGGCTATTATGAATAAAGTGGCTTTTAATATTCATGTACACGTTATTGTGTCGACTTAAATTTTCATTTCTCTGGGAGAAATACTCAGAATGCAACTGCCAGGTTACATGGCAGTTGCAGATTTAGTCTTTAAGAACCTGCCCAACTGTTTTCCAGTATGGCTGCACCATTTTACAAGCCCACCAGCCATGCAAAAATGATCCTCCCCACCCTCACCAGCACTTGGTATTCTCACTAATGTTTTAACTTTAGTGATTCTGGTAGGTATGCAATGATGTCTCGCTCTATTTTAATTTGCACTTCCCTAATGGCTAGTGATGCTGAACATCTTCATGTGCCTATTGCCATCTGAATACCTTCTTTTGTACGAAACATCTCTTCATGACTTTTGCCCGTGTTCTAATCAGAGTATTTGCTTTTCTATTATTAGGCTTTGAGAGTTCTTTACATATTCTAGATAAAAGACCTTTAGCTGATAAGTGGCTTGCAAATATCTTCTCCCAGTGTTTAGCTCATCTTTTCCCTCTCCTGATGGATTCTTTGGCAAAACACAAGTTTTTAAATTTTATGAAGTCCAGTTTACCAATTGTTCCCTTTTTGGTGTTAAGTCTAAGGACTCTGTCTACTCTAGGTCCTGAAGATTTCCTCTTATGTTTTCCCCTAAAAGTGTTATAGCTTTACATTTTATCTTTAATTCCATTGTCCACTTTGAGTTAATTTTTGTGTAAGATGTGAGGTTTAGAGTGTAGTTCATTTTTCTGCCCATGGGGGTCCATTGGCTCCAGCACCATTTGCTAAGAAGACAGCCCTTCCTCCACTGACTTGCCTTTGCACCTCTGTCAACAATCAGTTGGGTGTATTTGTGAGGGTCTGTTTCTGGGTTCATGATACTGTTCCACTAATTATTGTGCTGATCCCTCTGATGCTACCACACAGTCTTCATTGCTGAAGCTCTAAAGTACATCCTGAAATCAGGTGAACTGACTGCTCTCATTTTTCTCTTCTTTTTCAAAACCTTTCCATGTAACTTTTAGAATACTCTTGTCCGTAACTGTAAAATACCTTGTTGGAATTTTGATAGGAATTGTATCAAACCTATATATCAGTTTGGGGAAAACTGACATGTTAATTAGGCTGAATCTCCCAAACCATGAACATGGTCTATCTCTCCATCTATTCAGATCTTTGATTCTTTCATCAGTGTTGTGTAGCTTCCAGCATACGAACTCTAACACGTTTCATTAGATTTATACCTAAGTAACTGTATTCATGTCTGCAATTTATTTAACCTTCGAAAACAAGCTAAAAAGTGTTCCCTCTGTTCTTGTTTTTCTGGAAGATTGTGCAGTTAACTCTTTAAATGCTTGACACAATTTTCCAGAAACCACCTGAGCCTGGCGAAGTTTTTTACAGATGTTTTCAAATTAGATATTAAACTACTTTAATAGTTATAGGGCTCTTCAAGTCATCTATTTACTAGTGACCTGTGGTAGTCTGTGCCCTTCAAGAAACCAGCCCATCTCTTGGCTGCTGTTTGAGGGTGAGAGTCGTCTTTAGAACCCTCTCATCAGCCTTTGTCTCCGAGCATTTGAAGGATGGCAGTCACCTCCTTCTGGCCCTGGTGAGAAGTCTGCTGTCATTGTCTTCCCCATGGGTAAAGTGTTCCTTCTCACTGCTTTCAAGAATCTGTCTTCACTTTTCAGAAATTTTACTATGGCATATCTTTGTGTGCACTGCTTTGTGTTTATTCTGTTGGTTCAATCAACTTCTTGAATCTCTGTCTGTCTCTTTACCAAATCAGAGAAATTTCAACCATGACTATTTTAATCATTTTCCAGCTCTCCCCACCCCACCCCAGCCAGCCATCTCTTCTCCCTCCAGGACTCTGATGACACAAATGTCAGAAAATCTGCTCTAGTTCCACAGCAGGAAGGAGCACAGGTGGAAGGGCTGACTCCCTACTGGCCCCTGCTACCACCTGAGTGGGGGGGCTCGTCTTCCCTGCTGGACGTAGTCGGCATTCCAGCTCCCCAAGTGGCCCCCATTGACAGGAGGGGTGGTGTGTGTCACTGCTGCTGTCTGAGGGCAGAATTCCAGGCTCCCTATGTCTCCACAGACACCTCAGTTCCACTCGGCATTCATTAGGGATAAAAGTCTCTGCTCCTTCCTCAGCCTGCTCTGCGGTGGGTTCTGGTCCCCACCTGGTCTTTCCAAGCAGAAGCAGTGGTGGGGCCATAGGTTTTTTTAGTCACCTTTGGTTGGAACTGAGCAAGTACCGTTAAACATTTTCTATCCTGCTAAGCCATCCCTTTCTTGGTCTTTAGGCCAGAGGGAGTGAATTTTGTTCGTTCTTCTTGTTTGCCAGCTTCTTCAGCTCCAAGTTTGAGATACATGAGGGAAAACAGAATTGGGGAACTCACCACTGGGTCACAGCTTGGGTCCTGAGGTCTGCTCGGCCATCTCTCTACCTTTCAGTCTTCTTATAGTTGTTACATACACAATGTCCAGGATTTTTAGTTGTACTTAATGGGAAAATGTTGACTCCATCTTCCTGGAAGCAGAAGTCCCCAAACTTTATTTTTTTTCCAAAAAATTATTTTGCTTATTTATTTATGGCTGCAGTGGGTCTTTGTTGCTGCAAGGGCTTTCTCCAGTTGCAGTCAGCAGGGGCTACTCTTTATTGCAGTGCCTGGGCTTCTCACTGTGTTGGTTCCTCTTGTTGCAGAGCACAGGCGCTGGAGTTCAGGCTTCAGCAGTTGCAGCACATCAGCTTAGTTGCTCCACTGCACATGGAATCCTCCCAGACTAGGGTTCAAATCCATATCCTCTGGACTGGCAGGTGGATTCTTAACCACTGGACCACCGGGGAAGTCCCCCAAACTTTAAATTTTCATTGTGTAATATACGCCTACCCTTTCACTTGCTTTGTTTCCAATGCACAGTCTGTGTTCCCAATTCGTCAGCAGCCTCTACGCCAACATATAAAACCATCCGCACTCTGTTCTCCCAGAGCTGCTCTGGTCTGTTTCCCAGATTCCCGTCCTGGGAATCCCCTCTGCTCCTCCCTGTGCCTAAACTCCGGTTCTGGACCTGTGTTTTCCATTCTCCTGGTGCATCCTTGTGCACTAAGGCAGCACATCCCCCAGGAACCTCGTCAGAATGGGTTCTGCAGGCTCATGTTGTAGAGTGCTGATTTGTCTAGTTATTAGGGCCAGAAAGGGACCCTTTCAATCTGAGAGTCACGTCTGTTGGTGAATTCTGCAAAATGCCCTTGCTGTCTTAACAACTCCCTCCCACTCTCCTCCATTCCTTCTCCTCATGAGTCAGCTGCTAAACCTCCTGGATAGATTCTATAATTTTTTTTTTTCTCTCTCTCATCTTTGTTTACTTTGTCTTTTGGTTATCCTTTCTGGATGATTTTCTTTACCTTTTGACCCCTCTAAAGAATTGTTTATGATATATAATTAAGATATTAATTCCAAAAGCTCTTATCTCCATCTGTTTTCCTATTATCTCACAGTTAACAGTATTTCTTATCTTTCTGACAGTATCACATACTTTTATTTTTCCTCCAGTTTCTGCACTGTTGCCACTGCATTCACGTTTACTTCTTGTGTTTGTGCTGGGCTCTGTCCCTAGGTTACATGCTTTCCTCAAACATGTACTTCTCCTTGGCTGCCCATGACAGAAGCCATGAGCACGGGCAGAGCTGCAGAGCGTCGGCTTCTTTCAGGCTGGCGGGGTGGTCACAGCAGGGTCATTTGAGGAAACACTTCTGTGGGCTGCATGGCTTCCACATAAAAGCACCCTTCTGAAGGCTGCAGGCCTCCTGAAAGCTTGAAGGAAACAGGGTTGGCGATTCTCACTGTTCCAGACACAGGTTTTGACTCAATCTGCTCGTCTTCACACTGGGTCTCTCCCCACCCTCCTCTGGGCCAGGTGCCCCATGTCTAAAGTCCCTCTAGTGCTATGTCTCCACCAGGAAGACCTCCCACTTCCCACCATGCCAGGTGAGAGCAGACCCCTCCGCACGTTCACAACATGCTCGGTGCCTCCCCACATCCCCACACACCCCCGAGACCAGCTGGACGGCTCTGCATCTGAGTCCAGCTCCCGAGAGCTCTGTGAACTCACTACCCCACCTTCATCAGCTCCTTCCGCCAGTTTACAGGACTCGCGCGTTACTACAGCACCCTTTCCCATTCTCTCTGACCGCATAGTTTTATACCTTTTTATTCATTTCTTCTCACTCCAGTGTTTAGGGGAAGCACTAAAAATACAGCAGTGCACATCATGCTAATCCACAAGCAGGCACAGTCTCTGACAGGATTCAGAAGCCTGTGTCCTAGGCTGTGACAATGACACGTGGGACAGCTCTCAGCCTTTACCAAGGAACTGAAACACACGGCCAGGCTTTACGAGTAAGGAGGCGGCTTGCTCCCGGACAGAAAACCAGAAATGAGGCCAGAAAACAGCCATCTGGGGACTGGGCACCCAGGTATCAGACATACCACCACGGGTGCACCCCCGCGTGGGAGTCAGCCAAGGTGCACGTGGGGACAGGCCCAGACCGCAGCGTGTGGTGCGCTGAGAGCCTTTGCTGGCGACAGGCAAGGTGTGTCCTGCGGCCGTGGACTTACCTTCACCTCCTTCTCGATATAGTCGCTCAGCAGTCTGTCGGGCTCGACGCGCTCGGGCAGGGACAGCACCACAGTGTGCAGAGGGCGCCTCTCTGTCACCTTCTCATGGGCTTTCTTATCTCTACTCTTTTCACCTTTTAGGAATACTCGTTTAAACGGCGACACAATTCCAGGCTGCAGGCAGAAACGGCAATGGTTGGAGTTCATTATTCACAAAGGCTTGGTGGTGTACCCACGGCTAACAAGCAGAAGTGGCCCAAGCCACTGCCACAGTCCCCGAGCAGGCAAGGGCTGGCCATTGCTGCCAGGGTGGGCCAGGCCGAGGGCTGCCTCAGGTACAGAGGGGCTTGTCCCTCACCTGTTCACAGACTCTTAGAAGATTCAAAGGACAGTTCTCAAGGTGAGTAAACTCAAGAGACGAAAAGAGGGCAGGAAGGGGAGATTCCCCCACAAAACAAAAAATGTCGCATTGCTCCACCCATCCCGGCTCTGCTGGGTCATTTCACTGCAGTCTTCAGAGAAGGTGGGGAGGTGTGCCCAGGGCTGTGGCATCAACAGAAAATGCAGTCAACAGTCACAAGGCCAGCTCTACGCTCTCCTGTGAAAGTGTGGCCTGTGCTCCACTATCCCCACCTCTGCCCGGGCCTCGGGGGTTCAGGATGCTGACCAACACCTGGGTGGGCAACTTCACCCCCAAGTCAGTGTCTAGACCGGCCTGGAGGCCAATCTTGCAATCAAAGTAAACCTGCAGAGCAAGAACCAGGGAGGTCAGGTAGAATGAAGTCAGCCTCGCCTGCGGGCCCAGAAAAAGGCCTGGAGCCCCTCCCAGCAGTTCCGAAGGGCTCTTTGGAGGTGACCACTTCCAGTCACCCAAAGGAACACGAAAGCAGAGACAACACACCAGTGTGCAGACCTGGCAGGGAAATGTCACTGAACACAGGAGCAAAACCCAGAGCTGGTGACCCATCCCAGATGCAGAAGTCACCTTTCGTTGTCCTGTCGACGATGCTGCAGCTTGCCTGCCTGGGTGGGACCCACGGCAGGGGTACCTCTGACCAATGTACATGTCATCAAACATACACTAAAAGCTCTCGTTTCCGTTTCTCCTCTGCATGGGAAAATCAGCCACCCGCCATATCCCACCCAAAAGAATGCCACAGAGTTGATGATTCTGTGAGGTGCCTCATCAGCCCATCAGTCTCATAGATGGAGGGTGGAGAGGGGCAGTGACTCCCCCACTAAGGCAGGTGAGGCCTTGGGGGCCTCCCGGGAGATCCTACAGGGCCTGCCCCACACCCACTGAGACACTCAGCTACAAAGGCCACCCCACATAAAAGACACCCTCCGCAAAGTGAACCCCAGCATTCTTCCTGCTCCTTCTAGCCAGTCTGGCTTTTCTCCTCTGCTCCTTGGTCTGTGCTCATTACCCGTGAGTACTTGACCTCTGCATATCTGCCTTTTACTCCTCTGATCCACCAGAGGAGTAATCCTGGAGTACCCCTTCCGTGTGCCGGATATCTGCCTAGTTGCTGCTCCACACCCCAATGCAGCCCCTCAGTGCTTCATGTTGGGTGTGGGGTGGGGTGGGTGTAATAATGCTGATATGAGGCCCATGGGGCTAGTAATGATCATGACAACGTACATGTGGGCCTTCATTTACTTTGTTTTTGTTTTGAAATCGTTCAAAACGTTGTTATTTTAAGGATATAGTTCTCATCTACAGCTGCTTACACTTAAGCCATGGACAAGATAATCAATACCATCATCACATGGACAGTGTCATCTCCACCGTCTCAGACCTGCAGAGTGGACAAAGGGTGCCCCCTTGGAGGAGCCCATGATGGCTGATCCCAGCTCTCAGACTGCCCACCCTCCTGGTCCTCTCAGGTTTCTTTTTCCTCCCTTCCACAGGCACTGTAGGCCCCAGCACAAGTTAGGAGAGTGGAAGAGAAGAAGGTGGGGCCCTTCAGGTGAAATTCGGGCGTGGGAGGCAGGGTCTGGATCAGGTTGTTGCCATGCAGGTTCACATGGAAATGGTGGGAAACGGTCACCCACAATTTCCCACTCAAGCACCGATAGTAAACTTTACATTGAAAGGCAAGCTGGGAATGGAGTAATGTAAATATCACATTTCACCAGCGTGACTGTGGCAGGCCAGGCCAGGCCATACTGAACTGTGATTCCATCTCTGGCTGGCATCCCACACAGATGACGCTTCAATCCTGTTCTGCCTGACTGTGTATCTGCGCTGAGAGCCTCCCAGCTCCTATGATGTACAAGGCACTTTCCCAGTGCTGTGAAAATACCAAGGCATGTAACACAACGTTAGAGATGACCTATGTCCGAAACTGGCCACAGTAAACATCTGTCCCTACACCATTTCTGTCTGCTAACCTCACAGAAGTCACTCTCTCAGATCATATAACCAGAGGGGACACAGACGTGGTTGATCCTGAATCTGACGGTAAGTGAAAACAGCTCAGTTCAATCTGTCTGATATTCCACCTTACTACTCCTCTGTATCTGGGAGCCAACAGGAAACCAATTCGGAGGTGAGAGGTTTTGCCAAGGTCAGCCACACCACCAGGGCCACACACCACATGCAACCCACACTGCTGTTTTAACAATGACAGACAGGTCATAAAGTCACAGTCTGTGTTGGAAAGGACCCAGAGCCCAAGACCTGCAACCCACCTTAAGGAGACACTCTGCCGGCAGAAGAAACCAGGACGGCCCGCCGCAGATGCCCCCTACTGCTCGAGGATCAGCTCTCCCTATGCTGAGCCCCACTCCACCTTCCTCTGCCTTTACCTCTTGGGACCCAGCACCACATAGGGGAGCAATAAAACTGGTTAAGGAAGGGGTCTGGTGCCTCTGCCAGCCAGGCATCGGGAAGGTGCTGTGGAGGCACGAGACAGAATTCCCATCCTCAAGGCGGTCACCACCAAGCCCACAGCAGATGAACAGGGACTAAACCCTAGATGAGAACTGCTAGGCAGGTGCCTCAAAGGTGTGCTTCAGCGCCAAAATGTCCTGTATTTAAAGGAGCTACCCTGGCAACAAGGCATGCCCTGTGATGGAGCGTGGTGCCAGACCTCCACTGCTCACAGGCCAGCAGAGGCTAGCAAAGGGAGCTGCACACCAGACCACCTGGTCGAGTGTGAACGTGGCCTAACTGACTGGCAATCAGACACAGCTTCCCGAACTGGGTCCTTAGCCTTGCATACACAAGGCACCATGTGCTTTTTCTTAATGTCCCAAAGAAGTTTCACCAGTGGCTGAGCCTTCCTAGAAAGTGGAATGTTGTAACCATTATGTAAAGCAAGACACCTGAGCAAACCTGTAGTGTTCTTCTGCTGCCTCGCCCTATTTCAGCGCGGAACGGGGGCAGCTGCTCCGCCCAAAGAGAGCAGGCATGTGACACAGGAGACGCGTGCCCAGCTCCCACTGCAAGAGCTAGAAAGTACACCCGGCTGGGAGTTGGGGAATGGCAGGCATGGTGGGGACCCCTCAGCTTTTCCAGAAACAGAGTGAACAAGACGGCACCTCAGGGTTTTGGAACTAATGGTGCTTTTAAACATGAAATGTAAAAGAAAGTTCCAGTTAATACATTATTGACCATGAGATTTTTGCAGAAACTAACACCTTTGGCCAGTGATTTGTTACGTAAGTGAAAGCTGAGATGTCTCTGGTCAATAACATTCAGGTAACAAAAGACATATTAACACGTCTCTGGTCAATAAGTTGCTTAAAAAAAGAATACACTGACAAACAATTAAAAATACTCTTGACACACAGAATCAGGACTCCATTAAATGATTGTGGATTCTTTAATTCACTGGAATGGCCTCCAAATCAATAGTTTTAAAAAATGGTTTTAGCCTGTGCAATTGTTTACTCTTCATTCAACAGGTATTTTTATTGAGCACTCGTGTTCATCATCACCAAAATGATCTTATAATCTTCAACCCAAAAGATGGAAGAAAGGGCCCCTGGAATGAGCACAACACGAAGCGCAGTTTCTCTTGGTGAATGGTGCCCCAGCACTGATGCCACCCAGAGTGCATCTGTGTCCGAGTCTCTTGTGAAGAAATGGGGCCCTGAGTGTTGAAAGGAACTGGCTAAGGGTCCAAGGCACAGAGCCAGGGAGGGGACACAGGCTTCATGCACACTTCACACAGGCAACACACGCTGCTTCCTAGAACTAACTCCCAAGTGATCCCTAGAGCCTTACAATACTCTTTGCAAAGACTTCCCTGGGGGTCCAGGGGCTAAGACTCCACGCTCCCCATGCATGGGGCCCGGGTTCGATCCCTGGTCAGGGAACTAGATCCCACACACTGCAACGAAGATCTGGTACAGCCAAATAAACAAACAGGTATTTTTTAAAAAACCTTTTCTTGCAGTATCTTCCATCTTATGCTTGAAACAACTTTTGAACTTGGAAATCGCAAATGTAGCTTTTAGTTAAACACACACAACTGACTCTGGTCCACTTAGTACTTTCCTAGAGGAGGCCCCCAGGGTCAGGCTGGCCTTGGGTATTGTTAGATTAAAGCCTGGCCTAGAATCTCACTTGAGGTGACGAGGCTCTAGTATCTGCATCTCCTAAACAAATCCTCAGAGGCTATGTTCTCTGTCAGAGCGTCTGTTTAGTAATTTACAGTAAGAAATGCATGTGCTGAGGAAGCAGCACAACCACTCCTGGAACAGCAGCCTATACTTGGGGACCAAAAGGAATGATAAGGTGAAAACACCTACCAACTTGCTCTTCGGGCACAACTCCCAGCTCAGCACATTCTGGAGAAAGTGTGTGGCAGTGATGGAAGGAAACCCATGCTGAGAACCTCGAATGCCCCAGCACAGTGCTCAGGAAGCCTTATTTACTCCTTTAGTAGATAACACAGAACTGCCCCTGAACAGAGGCTTCACAGGCAGGCCCTGGGGCCCTTCAGCTGGGCATTCAGTAAATGTCTAATGGGCATCGAGCCTGTGCCCAGCACTTGGGCTATACCTTGAAGGACCCGTCCCCACCCCAGGGCCCCTTCTGCTAAGGGAGAGAGAGGACAGCGGCGCAGCGGGGCTCCGGCTCCACAGGGCTGCAGGACAAGGCCAGGGGAGACACCAAGGCCAGAGCGTGGGCTGGGCAGAGCCACCGTTCTGTCCAGCTGGGC